TCGAAAAGAAAATTACTGCTTACTGCTTACTGCTTTTCATTTTCCTCCATATATTTCTTCTTTTCTTCTTTTCCATTTGTACTTCTTCAAATACTCTATCATTATTCTCAGATTCAAAATATAATGTCAACTTTTTACAAACTGCTATTTGGGACAAGTTCGAATTGTTTAGAAAATCATTGACCGAAATTTATCCAGTAGTCATTAGATTACATTGTACTTTCATTGATGATATCTTTTTTTTAAAATTCTGTCACTGAAAATCGCTTTAATTCTACTAATTATTACTCTCATCAAACTTTAATATTTTCTATTTATCACTTTTAGATTTATAATTTTATATCAAAGGCATTTTTTAATCGGGCCGCGTCCATAAATTACATAATTTTTTTTTAAATTTTAACCCCCCCTCCCTACTTGTAAGAAAATTTGCATACATTAGCGCAATTTTTCTACTTCAATAACTTATACAATGAAAAAAAATTTGATTCAAATAACCGATTACTTGACTATTATTAAATATTTAATTGAATCAAATAATATTTATTGGACTCAATTAAATGGTATTTGCTTCAAATACTGAAATTATTGGTTCAAATACCATTTAATTCACTCCAATAAATATTATTTGATTCAAGTAAATATTTAATTGATAATAGTCAATTAATCGGTTATTTGAATCAAATAAATTTATTTTTCAGTGTAAGAATATTCCTAAGAAACATGAAGAAATCGATCATTAAATTTCAAAAAAATTAATTCTTCAGAATTGTCAGTTAAAAGTATGTAAAATTTAAATTTTCAAAAATTTTAATTTGAAACTTTTTTAAAATTTAATTATTTGTTAAAATTAACTACATTTCATTTATAAATTTTAATTTTTATTAGAAAATTCTACGAGAATTCAATTATAATTAATTTATTGAATAATTGAATGTTTCTTTAAATTGCCCATGTAGAAATTTCCCTACTTGTCCCTACCAAATGTTGGATTCTGATTAGAACCATCCTAGAAAATCTACTCTAGAAAAATCTGTCTAGAACCTCGCTAGATTCTGACTAGAATCTCTAGTCTACAAAAACTAATCGGTTTCCAATCAAATTCTAGTTAAAGAATTATTATTACTAATTTTGTATTATAAAGAATTATTATTAATTGACATTATTATTTATTATTTTAATAATTTAAATAATTTAATAACTTTATAATTTTTTAATTTAAATTATTATTAGATTATAAAGAATTATTATTAATTGAAATTATTAGATAATTCAGACTAGAAAAACTCACTAGGACCTTATTGATTTCCAACTAGCGACAAACTAGTGTACAAGTAATATACATAAATTGTCTTTCTATAAATAAATATTTTTATGAATTGTCAAAAACATTTTAAAGTATAATTGCACTTACATATATTTTTAAATAATTATTTTTACGGATAATATTACAATATTTAGGTAATAAAAATTAATTATACTCACATAATTAATATTTATTTGTGTCTTATTCTTTTAATTTACTTATTAAATAAAAGATTTTTATTTAATAAAATTGTTTTATTGGAATTTTATGTAAGAATGTTCTACAATATTAAAAATTGGGTTTCAAATATGTTAAAAAATGAAATAATTAAATAATATGCAAAATTTTTTAAAAAATAATGCTGGTAAAAATTATTTAACTAGAATTTGATTGGAACCCGACTAGTTTTTCTAGACTAGAGATTCTAGTTAGAATCTAGCGAGAGCCCTACTAGAGATAGGGGCAAATGGTGAATTGCTGCACGGGATGTTATTTAAGCGGAGGTGCTTCCAAGCTATCACGGCCGGGAGGTATGTGTATCCGACTGGAGTCCCCAAGGTCCAAGGTTCGATCCCCCATGGGCACGAGATTTTTCAACTCAAGTTTCAGGTTTTTCGTGTACAACATTCATTAATAATGTTAATATGAATGAAGAATTTAATTATAAATAGGTTAAGTTGAAAAATAATAATTTTTAAAAGTCAACTAGAAAATTCTAGTCGGGGCCCTATCAACACACAGCTAGTTTTAATACTAGTTCCCGACTAGATATTCTAGTCTATACCCCATCTGCCGACCGTTATGAAAGTAGTTGGGTTCTAACGATTTTCTCTAATCAGTTCCCCACTACAGATAGGGAATTCTGGCTAGGACCCCATAAAATTCCAATCTCAATTTCTGCATGGGTGAATTCTCATAAAGAATTTTATCAACAAATTTATAAATAATTGAATTCTTTCGACGAACTATAATACAATTTTTAAAAATAATTACATTTTTCGTGAAATCAGATTAAAATTGTATTAAAAATAATTGAAATTCTGCAATGAGTTTTATTATTTATGAAAATAATTGAATCCCTGTAAAAAATGTTATATTAATTCAATTATTTATGAAAGCAATTGAATTATTACGAAGAAATTCATAAATATTTGTAAATAATTGAATTCCTGTGAAATTTTTATTATTTTAGAAACTAATTGAATTGAATTCAATTGAATTTAAATTTTATAAAAACTTTTTTTAAATAATTAAATTCTTTTGGAAAAGTTTATTAAAATAGTAATTTAGTTTGAATTTGAAAATGTTGTATTTTTTCTGTCTTATTCGGATGGTTGAAATTTGATACGTCATGGGATAAATTTCAGAGTCAGGTGCACATATAAGAAATACAGTTATTTTATTTACATTGACCTAGGGGAGGAGGGGAACTGAAACATCTCCATTATATTCCCAAAGTGAATAAAATATGCCTTAGATATTAACTGAATTTCTATGTCGTAAATTAGCCATTTAATTTTTAATATCATCACGCATGTATATCAGCAGCTACTCTTGGTTCTTGAGAAGTTCCGTGAAACGGTGCGCTCAACGTTAACGAAGCGTTAAAGCGAAGCAGGTGCGGTGCATAAATGTAGCAGATATAAAACATATAATTATAAAAGGTAATAATTAAGCGTTGAGAAATACGTAAAGGGTTGAAAATGTAGTGACCTAGGTCTGTGGATTCCTTGGGAATCACAAGTTTTTTGAACCCGCAAATGCGTAATGACTTGATTAAATCAAAGCCCTCCTCCTGCATATGCAAAAAACATTTACCCTCTTCGGAAATGAAGTCTTGTTGGATTAAAATGTAAAAGTTACTACATTCTTGTCAGTGTAAAACTGCTTCTAAATGCGCCAATGGAGACAGGAAAATTATCTCTTTTTTAATCTCTGCCGACTCTCATTGGGATTCTATTGGTCAATCTAACTAAACTTAGTATTAGTAATTTAGTGAAAGTAATTCTCAACATCTCGGTGTTACATTTTTTCTATTTTATCCACACTATCAAAATCATCAAAATTAGCTTCTAATCAAATATTTTTAAGATTCATAGTTAAAAATTCTTTTTCTGATCGTTTTCGAACCTCCGTTCAATGGAAAAAAGGAACACTAGGATAAAGTTGTTTGTTTTTGTTGCAAAGTGTGTGCATTTATACAACAACAATTTAAGGAGAAATTACTGTACACGCTGCAACATTTGATGTTAATTATTTTCACTTCTAACTTACAGATTGACTGTTGACCTTTCGACGCAGTAATTATTAAATTCTCCGAGACCAGTAGCAGTTTTCTTGCTCACCATAATATTGAGGAGAAATCTTCAGCACTCGACAGGAATCAGTTGCTGTTGAAAGGAATTCACGAAGTCGAACTCTGGGCTCAAATGGAATTCCTTTGGGTATAAATGAATCGCTCTTGTCTCGCGTAAATTGCTTTCCGAATGGTGTAACCAGCGAAAGAGAAGTTCTTATCTGCTGTCTTTGATTTTCCATTCGGCGTCATAGAACCTCGTGAAAAAAAAGAGGAGCGTTAAATTTATCTCAAAGAGTGAAGAGAATCATCAATTCCGAAAAAAGAAAATCTCAAAAAGATGTGAAATTGAGTTTGGAAATATTTATAAAGATACAGATAATAGACACATTAACAATTGGTGATAATTGTTAATTTCAATTATCTAGTTTTGCGGTTGAAGTTGACAAAGTTGCCCTCTGAATTCTCGTCAGAACCCCGTTACATAATTACGAGCGTAGGATGCGGATTGATTAGCGCACGACGAAGAGAAAGGCAGAATATTCTGTGGATTGGTTTACGAACTGGGTAGGTATGTGAATCACCATGCCACAGCTTCATATTCACAACTAGCGAGCCGTGGACATTACATGTTGGTCACAATACCATTTTGGCCAAACCGAATTTTAAGGATTATTTTTTCCACTTACAATTTGGATAGTGATCCAAATAGTTCTTATTCTGCTATAAGCGGAAGGTTTCTTTGATTCAAAATTTTAAACATGTTGACCCAACCTGACTGATCTATCTGATAGGCTACATCACAGTTTTTCTAAGGATTCAAAGATCTCAGGATGTCAATAACAAAATCATTAATTATGAATTTCGAAGTACATCCAAAGAAAGCATTATAAACATTTTGGTGGAGGTCATCGAGATGCTTCTTTTTTAGCATAAAAGCAGATTTTTCAAATGGTTGCACACAGAGAGCTAGCGGAGGCCAAGAGTGTCCTTGAGTAAAACTGTTGGACGGGAGAATCGACGACAATGCTCCGTTTAACGAATCGGGTCGGCAATTTATTTGAGCGACCGCGAGAGCAGATTTAGTCGATTCTGCCTATCGTTTTTTGTGTGCGGTGCACGTGTGTGTTTTTCAGTTCCATACAAGCACACGGGGCGCCTTCTCCCGCCCGCGCTCGGTTCCACCACCGCGCGGCGTGGTTCGCCGTTCGCGAGTCGCAAGTCACCTCTGTTCACCTCAAGGCACTCAGTCCGCCCGAGTCGTGCACCACGAAACACGCAGGCCAGGCAGCACGCAAGATATCCATTCTCGAGCTCCTTCGTTATAAACCAACTCCCATTCTCTCTTTCCCATTCCTCTGGGCGCACGCGCTCGCGCCAAAATTTTCGCGCACGTGACTCAATTTTGTGTTCGCTGAAAAGACCCTGTAGTGAATATATTGATAACAAGTGAGAGTGAGGGGAAATTTGATAGTCTGATTGTAATAGCCTGCCCGCCCACTAGTGTTGGACGTACACATTGTGATTGTTTGCGTGGTGCTTTTGTGATTGAAACGAAAAAACGACAACGGACACGAACTCCTGGTGATGTTGGTGTTGAGTGACCTGGCTTGACGGAACTTGCCACCTCTGGATTCGTGACTGACTGTGGTGACGGTCGTGCGAGATGACTCCTGTGGCTGTCCATGAACGGTACGATCTACTTTATTCAGATTTGTCACCCTTGAAAAATTCTTTAATTTTGGTAGGGTCTTTTTGAAACTGCTTCTGGGGAAAATGTTCTTTCTTCACTTGTTTTGAAACTGTCCTTTCTTCACTTGTTTTGAACTTGTCTTCTTCACTTGACTCCTTAAATTGAGATTCCTGCGAGGAAACATAAACCCCACCCAAAATATCACTTGTTTTGAAATTGTTCTTTCTTCACTTGTCTCCTTAAATTGAGATTCATGCTGCGGCATCATAAACCCCAACCCAAAATATCTAGGGTTTATGTACTAAAGTTCTAGTTTTACCATTGGATCATCATTAATCATCATCATTAAATACCTAGTTAGCAAAAACCTTACAATCCCTACCGAAATATTGTTGTAACTTAATACACTTTTGCTACCCTAAAAATGTTTTGTCTTTTTATGGAATACTAGAGTCCTGAAGGTTTCTTAAAGTTGTTATCTTAATGGTCTCCAGACCTTCTTAATATGTCTTCCAAAATACTAATTTTAGGGGTTAGTTGGAGTGTCACCTAGGAATTATGTTTGGTAAGATGTTGAAGACTTTCAGATAAAAGACAGTCTTCGAATCCTTACCAAAGTTGTAATTTTCAGTAGGAAGTGTTGGATAAAATGGACATTGAATCTCTAAAGGAAGAAACATTAGAATTTTTGCAGAAATGATATTCCTAGAAGGACCCTAAGGATGATCGTAAATTGTGGTTAGGTTTTAAGATCATAAAATCAAGAGACAAACTTAGATTCTTTGGTAAAAATTACTTAAGGGAGTTAGTAGATATGTAAGTTAATTTAAGTATAGGAGCTAAAGTACAATTATAAAAATGCTAGTACCAGTATGAAGGATTAAAAATTAATTAATTAATTTTGGTTGAAGGTTGAAATCCTAAAGACCTTTTTTTATCTAAAACTGATTTTGACAATTTTACTCGCACGTTTCTAGAACATGGATAAAAACTGCAAAAAGAAGTATCTTAAAAGTGACTACAAAATTATTTAGAACATCATATATTAAGATGTTTCTGGTCTAAAATCTTAATATAAGATGTTTCTGGTCTAAACTGATATACCTAAACTTAGAATTAAAAATTTATATAAAAATCGACTAGAAACCAAAATTAATGAATTTCGAGGGGGAAATATTTTCTTTTACTAAAAAATATACATTTTTAAAAATTTGTCGTCATATTTAAACTAACAACAAAAATTGCATGTATAAATGGTTTTTGTAGCATTTAATTCTAACTTTTCAAAGAAATTTAAAGAGAAAAAAAATCGTAATTTATCAATAGTTTATATTCGTCTGCTTGTGTGTCTGTGTCCGCAATATGACTTTTCAATTTAATCCGTTACAAAAGAATTCGTAATAATTTAAATATCGTCTGATTTTTTATGATTAATTCTTCGCTTTATTATGACATCAGTAAATCGGATTACTATTTTGTCCGCGTATAATTTTTAAAATATCATCTAATCTCATCCGATAAAAGTCATCATCTTTTTTAATTATAATTTTTAAATTTTAAATTATTTAACTCTAATAATAATAATAATTTAAAGATATATTTATCACATTTCTCCCTTTTTCATCATATTCTAGCATATCAAAAGACTTTTTTTTAATTTTTATAGTAATTCTCCCATTTTCAACATATTCTAGTATAGTAGAAGAATTTTTTTAATTTTACTAGTTATTCTTTATGTATGGATAAGACATAAAATGTATGGATTGACATAAAAAATGTAGATCAAATAAAAAATTGATCCAAACTTTTAGCATCAATTTGATCCACTTTGGTATCAATTTGATACTTTCAGGAAAACTGTGATGTAGTGAATACTTGATGATCAATAATTTTTAATAGTAATTGATTCTAATATTTATTAGAAAAAAAATAATATTTTTATTTGAACCAAATAAAAAGTCTGGTTGGCTCCAAGTCATTTGACTTACCAATCAGACTTTATATATTTATATAAATTAATTATATATTTATATAATTTTTCTATGGGTGTCGTGAAATACGAATTCTAAATTCGAAATAACAGATTCAAAAATTCAAGACCCAAAGAATTGAGTATATTGATTAATTGTATTCAGTTGTAAATATTCATTTGAGATCCTTTTCTTCATAGATAGAGAATCTTCGTCTAATTTCACATTACGGTTTGATCCTTATCGGCAAAGACACTGTCTGACTTCGTCTAACGTTAATTTCTTTAATTTAAACATCGATCAGTATTTGCCAGCAGATCCTAATCAAATTTGAACTCCCATTAATGATTGAGATTAACCGATTGATTGATTCAAGTCAGCTACACTGATTAATTGATTGACATAGGCGAACGAGGGAGACTGATAAAATAAATGCCTTTTCTTATTAGGAAATGAATAAATTTTACTACTTTTAGATGGAACTGATGTATATTCTGAGGTCAATAATCTGTAAAATCTTATTCTCAATATCGAATGTTAATATTTAAAATCCTCTAGGTTTTTGTTGGTTCTTTTGTCTTTTGTTGATTTATGGGTGACTTTCACAGATTTCTTGAAAGTATCAAAAATTGATGCCAAAAATTCAGATCAATATTTGATTAGATCCACATTTTTGTTATCAATTCGTTGAAATTTGATACTTTTAACTTTTTAAGTTTCAACAGTGAATTAAATAAGTTCTGAAATAATTGGATGCACTTAATTAAAAAGCAGAGATTGAAGAGATTCACGGCGTGTTGAGAAATAATTTTCCTGTGTAAAAAGAGAAGAGAAGAAAAGTGTCGATTGGTGATCGAACGTTATTATGTCACACTCCCACGCGAGCGACGGCTGCTGATGTTGTCGCCGCCGTCGCCGTTGTAGCGGATATCTTTGCCTGGGTTCTTCACTTCGTGCACGTTGTCTGACATTTCCGCGCGAGGTGCCAGGCACCGCATTATTATATCCTTAGAGGTTAAGACGCTCTTCGTGCGTAACTGTCTCTTCGAATATTCCCAACAATAACATTCTTGATTCTATAGATCACGACGAAGAACTAGAGGTAAATTCATAACAATTTACAGTTACATGCCATTTTTTCAATTTCATTCTGTCTTCATTTTTTGGCAGATATAAATAACTTCAGTATAAATAACTTGGTCTTTTTCATTCGATCAGGAACATTTTATTAAGTAAACTGACAATTTTATCAACCCCCACTGTATCTGAACTTACAACGCTAACAGAATCGGTATATTGCATTTTTATACGCGATGCGCATAGATGCACAATTTTCATACAAGAAATTGGACATTTTGCAGCACATTATTGAGTTTAACGCAAAGCTTAAGGTATAGAAAAAAAAGAAGGGATCATTTACAAACTATGGCATGATTTTTCGGGCTAAATTTTACCCCCTTCCTAAAGGATTCCACTAAATTCACACCTAGTTGTAAAATGAGTATCTACAATAGCTTGCAAATACATTAGTTTTATCTCATTCAAAGTGCATTAATATTCCATAATATTTTCCAAAAGCACAAAAATAATGAAGCTAAATGCCACAAAAGAGGAGAAAAAATGTTGAATTTTAAGAAATTCGGATTTTTGAATTTTTGATAATTTTTGAAAATTTTCAATTTTTATCCAAAGGGTGGAGGCTATTAAATAAGTAAAGTATTTTTCAAAAGCACAAAAATATTGAAGCTAAATGCCACAAAAGAGGAGGAAAAATTTTGAATTTTAATAAATTCGGATTTTTGAATTTTTGATAATTTTTGAAAATTTTCAATTTTTATCCAAAGAGTCGAGACTAATAAATAAATAAAGTATTTTCCAAAAGCACAAAAATAATGAAGCTAAATCCCATAAAAGAGAGGAAAAAATGTTGAATTTTAAGAAATTCGGATTTTTGAATTTTTGATAATTTTTGAAAATTTTCAATTTTTATCCAAAGAGTCGAGACTAATAAATAAATAAAGTATTTTCCAAAAGCACAAAAATAATGAAGCTAAATGCCACAAAAGAGGAGAAAAAATGTTGAATTTTAAGAAATTCGGATTTTTGAATTTTTGATAATTTTTGAAAATTTTCAATTTTTATCCAAAGGGTGGAGGCTATTAAATAAGTAAAGTATTTTTCAAAAGCACAAAAATATTGAAGCTAAATGCCACACAAGAGGAGGAAAAATTTTGAATTTTAATAAATTCGGATTTTTGAATTTTTGATAATTTTCTATAATTTTAGATTTTTTACCAAAGAGTCGAGACTATTATATAAGTAAAGTATTTTCCAAAAGCACAAAAGTAATAAAGCTAAATGCCACAAAAGAGGAGAAAAAATGTTGAATTTTAAGAAATTCGGATTTTTGAATTTTTGATAATTTTCGATAATTTTCAATTTTTATCCAAAGGGTGGAGGCTATTAAATAAGTAAAGTATTTTTCAAAAGCACAAAAATATTGAAGCTAAATGCCACAAAAGAGGAGGAAAAATTTTGAATTTTAATAAATTCGGATTTTTGAATTTTTGATAATTTTCTATAATTTTAGATTTTTTACCAAAGAGTCGAGACTATTATATAAGTAAAGTATTTTCCAAAAGCACAAAAGTAATAAAGCTAAATGCCACAAAAGAGGAGAAAAAATGTTGAATTTTAAGAAATTCGGATTTTTGAATTTTTGATAATTTTCGATAATTTTCAATTTTTATCCAAAGGGTGGAGGCTATTAAATAAGTAAAGTATTTTTCAAAAGCACAAAAATATTGAAGCTAAATGCCACAAAAGAGGAGGAAAAATTTTGAATTTTAATAAATTCGGATTTTTGAATTTTTGATAATTTTCTATAATTTTAGATTTTTTACCAAAGAGTCGAGACTATTAAATAAGTAAAGTATTTTCCAAAAGCACAAAAATAATGAAGCTAAATGCCACAAAAGAGGAGAAAAAATGTTGAATTTTAAGAAATTCGGATTTTTGAATTTTTGATA